CTTGATCTTTGCTTTCTGCAGAGTATTTTGCCAATAAGATGATTTAAAAGATGCTATGGGGGGACCAGTTATGTTCAGTTTATTAAAAACTTTTTTAAAACTGTCTACAGTACTTTCCACTTCGTTTGCAAGGGTTTCCAGTTCCTGAAATTTAAATTGCACTGATTTAAATGAGTCGTTTGAAAGAAAATAAACAGTACATTTTAAATAAATTACCTTTAGTATATATTCTCCGGTAATAATGGCTTCTGGATCGTTAGTACAAGTTTCAATATTCCAAACAAATTTTTCAATATTTTCGAAAAGCTTAATTGCTGAATGTTCTAATTGTCTGCATCCACTAAATAAATTCATGTGTTCTTCACTTTCCAATGGTAACCATTTAGTAATTGTCATAATATTTCTCGACATATTGGTATAAATAAGTCTGTTTTGGCAAATTTCACGAAATTACTTATTTTTAAGTTTCCCATTTATTCACATTGAAAATAATCATTAATAATAATATGAGAAATAATTGTGCAGATGATGTAAACACATAATTTTTTCAATGTAAACAGTGAAAATTATAAAATTTGTAAACGTTTCCTTGGTAACAATTTAAAGAGAGGTCAATGAGGAAAATTTCTTAATATTCAATCCAGATTTTTGTTTTTAGATCTGTATGGTTCTTACTAAATATCTCCTTTTGCTTCAATAAATAAGTTAATAACAAATAAATAAATAAAGAGTAAAGCATAAAAAATAAGAAATACTCGGTAAAGTAATTAAACAAATACTGAATAAAATGAATAAATGGATAAACATGTAAATAATAAAGAAATAAATAAATTTTCTATTGCAATAATTAGTGTTTAAGCCAATAAATAATACAATTAAATTTTAAATATATTAATATAATGTTCTTAACGTTTTGTATGCAACCCAACATACAACTCATATACGGTTTTGCATACCTGCAAGGAAATATTGAATTTAAAAAGAACGACCTTGACTATAAACGTCAAACCTTTCTAACCTCAAAATACTAGGGTATGAAAATGAGAATTTTATCTTAAATTCCGATAAATAATTCAGTGTTATTTAATTAAACGTGTTAACATACATAACTAGAAAAAGTTAAAATTCAGACATTACAACCTTTTTTAGTTTTATTGTGTGTGTTTAGTTTTTGTGCCAATTGCCCTTTGGTCCGTTGGTGCTTTTTAATGTTGCTAACTATTAATTTCATTGATTTATTAATGTTTTAATCAAAAGTATGTTTGTAAATGGAACAATTACAATTTTGTACGGTTCACAAACAGGAAATTCACAAGATGTTGCTGAGAGGATTTGGAGAGAATCAAAACGTTTTTACTTTACTGGGTCTGTTAAACCTATGGATGAATATAATATAAAAGACTTAATTGCAGAAAAGTGCGTTATATTTGTTTGCTCAACAACAGGCCAGGGTGAAGAACCTGATAATATGAAAATGTTTTGGAAATTTCTTCTAAGAAAAAATCTTCCCCTTGATTCCCTTTCAAACCTCAAGTAAGTGTCAGTTACTACTTACAAAACTTTTCCTTTATTCCATAATCATTTTAGATTTGCTGTCTTGGGTTTGGGAGATTCAAGTTATGCTAAGTTTAATTTTGCAGCTAAAAGGTTGCACAAAAGATTATTACAATTAGGAGGTAAAGTCTTGGTTAATATGGGCTTAGCAGATGACCAGCATGATCTTGGATATGATGCTGTGGTAGATCCATGGATTGAAAATTTGTGGAATGAAGTATTAAAGATTTATCCTTTACCTAGTAGTATAGAACCCCTTCCTAAACACATGAAGATTAATCCTAGGTAAAATTTATTAATCTTGTAATTAAGCATTACTAATATTATTTTGCTTTGTATAGATGGTCTGTTTCTACATTCTTAAAACCAAACAGCAGTCTTAGGAATGGTTCAATGTACTATTCAACTCGATCTAACAAAGAGTTTTTTGTTACTATTAAAGATAACTTAAGGACCACTGATGGTTCACATTTCCAGGTAGGTGATGAAGTGTATTAACTAGTAATTTTCTAACTTAAATTACAAACTTTTAAGCTGTATGTTTCATTTTGATTTTCTTTTTAGGATGTTAGATTAATAAAATTTCAAACAAATGGTCAGAAATACCAGCCTGGAGACATTTTAGTTTTAAGGCCAAAAAATAGACCAGAACAAGTACTTGAGTTCTTTAAAATACTGGAGTCAAATAATGTATTTATATCGCCAGATACAGTATTTAGACTCTCTGAATTAAGTCCAGAGATACCAGTACCTCCTGTTTTAAGACAAGATATAACTTTTCGCCAATTGTGCGAAGAATACTTCGATTTATCGGCCCTTCCCCGAAGGCATTCGTTTGAAATCCTGGCACAATTAACTGAAAGTGATTTGGAGCGAGAAAAATTTTACGAATTCACATCAGCACAAGGACAAAACGAGTTATATAATTACGTTAATAGACCTAGACGAAATGTAGTTGAAGTGTTGGGCGATTTTCCCTATGCAATTAGCAATATAACACAAGAAATGTTCTTCGAAATACTAACACCAATTAAACCACGAGAATTTTCAATTGCCAGCAGTTGCATTGCCCACGAAAACGAAATTCATATTCTCGTAGCAGTTGTAAAATACAAAACTAAAATGGTAAAACAACGGTACGGTTTGTGTTCAAATTATTTGGCTGATTTAAAACCTGGTGATACTGTTTCCGTATGGACTAAAAAAGGGTGCTTTAAATTTCCAAACGACGACGTAAGTTTATATATTTGCTGATGAGTTGTTAATGTAAGAATAACTTTTTAACCTTTTTTAGAATACTCCTATCATAATGGTTGGACCAGGTACGGGGGTGGCACCCTTTAGAAGTTATATTTTAGACCGAGCTAAAAGGGGTACTGCAGACAGCAATAATTTAATGTTAATATTTGGCTGTCGAAACAAAGATAAAGATTTTCACTGTAGAGAAGACTTTGAAAAGCTTCATCAACAAGAAAAACTTCAACTTGTATGTGCCTTTTCCAGAGATCAAGACGAAAAAGTGTAAGCTAGCTTTCAGATTGATAGTATCTTTGTTTAATTGTATTTTTACGTTACATACAGATATGTGCAGCATAAAATTAAGGAGCATGCAGAGCAAGTTTGGGACTTAATTAAAGAACGGAATGCTTGTGTATTTATAGCGGGTAGTTCAAAGAATATGCCTCAACAGGTTCGCGAAGCCTTCGTCAGTGTTTGCCAGAAATATGGCAAAATGTCCGAAATTGAAGCTACCAAATATATTGTTGATATGGAGAAAGAAAATCGATATCAGCAGGAAACGTGGTCATAATGAAAGGTAATACGTAGTTGATTCATTTATAATTGTGCATGCTTGTAGTATGATATTTTAATTAATCTGTTACTTTACTGTTTCAGTTTTAGGAAAATATAAACAAAATAATTTGTTATTTATATTTGCACATATAATTTTTAGTATGTAAGTAGTCAATGATTTTTGTTTATTGTTTGACTATTCCAATAAATATTTAATTTATTATCATTTTTGTTTTGGTTGTATGCAATTTATTTGTAAATATATTAGTTCTGGGCTGTTAAAAAAATATCTGTGTATTTTTAATTAAAATTAATCCATATTAACAATCTCAACTAAAATTTCATAATTGTCTTTTTTAAGATTAATTAAAATATCAAAGTTCAGGGTAAATAAAATTTAATCAAGTGATTAATAATTCTATATTTTTTCAAAAAAATAATATGTTTATAATGTAAACTTATATACGCAAACGGAATAATCGTTATCAATCGTCCCAGTCATCGTCGTCAGTATCATCCGTTTCTCCTCCGCTGCTACTGACTAGTGCCGGAGGGGGAATCAGTTCAGCCATCCTAGCTAATGTAGAGGTGGCATCGATAGGAGCATTTTCGGCACTTTTCGCCCCAGATATTCCCTTTCTTCTAAGGGACAATTTTGCGTGTAAATCTGCCATAAGATCACCGCCAGTCTAAAAAAATTAAATATTTGAAAATAGAACAGTATTTAATAGTATTAACAAAATTACTTTTGAAACGTCAGAGGTTTTAGGAGATATGGGTCGTAGTTTAGCATTCTGGATTCCTCCTGTTTTTCGAATAGCTTCCATTAAAGTAGCATGAGCATTATCATTTGAAATTGGTAAATCTAATTTCATTTTGCTCTTTGCTACTTCGATATCCTGTTTTTTGTTTGTGGAAATATTCGTTTCAGGAGTTTCAGTCTTTTCAGGCACGTTATTATCAACTTCAGATTTAATATTGATATCTATATTTTGCTGTGGAGGGTCCACAACTTTATTAAACACATCCACTTGTGGTTGTGGCTTTACTTCTTTTTTAATTTCAGGTAGAGGTTTATCCTGAATTGTATCAACTTCAGACAGATCAGAATTAGTTTTGTCAATTGTATGGTTTTCAAAATTATCAATATGTGTTATATTAGTATCAGGTAAACGTTTTAGATCACTTGGTGTTAAAATTGAAGGTGCAATACCAAAGGATTCTTCAGCTGCTTCATATCTTAAGTCATCTGCAATTCCTATAAGGAAATAGAGAATACTTTAGAACAATTATAAGAATCAGTTAATTATTAATTACTAAGTTACCTGGTAAATCTGGCAAATCTAGGGGTACTTCTAAAGAAGGCACTTCTCCTAAATCTGGCGAATAGAAATAAGAATCTTCATCTGAACTTCTGAGAGTTGTTTGGTCTGTAATTGACACCGGAGCATCTTCAATGTTTGATTTATATGACTGGTTGTTTTGTTTTGGAATTTCAGAGTTTTCAAGAGGATCTAATGTAATATAGTCTTGGTATAAATTCTTTCCTGTGTTGTACAGTAGCAAATCAGTAAAAAATTCAATGTCTTCTGGAATCTTTCCTAGTCCTTTAGTTTCATAATCTGCAGGAGTATTCTTTGATTTGACATGATAGTATTCTAGGCGGTCAGAAGGTTCTTCTTTGGTGTTGACCGTTTCTTTGTACTTAAATTTTGTGTGTTTTGGCTGTATTTTGTCATCCTTACCAAAAATTGAAATATATTTTTGATTCAAGTTAGCAGCAGGATATTTGGAACTTGAAAATATTTGAATTGCCTTTTTCTCACCAGCTAATTTTTCAACTTTTGAATCTGCAATGTTAACTCTTTCTTGAATAGAAGCAAGTTTTCTTGTATTTGATTCGATCCTATTGTTAATTCTGTTAAATATATCGTTAGTAACATTTGATAAGTATTCTAAAGTATCTGCTATCTGGACGATAGTTTCTTCTCTTCGTAGATTTGGAGGAATAACTGGCACATTATAGTTGCAATTCATTTTAAATTACTTTTAAAACAAAAACACTAATACTACACCCATTTTATGCTTTTACAATATAGTTTTGTCACCGAAAGAATGAAAATACCGATTCTTATAACAGTACAAAAAGCTAGGTTATGTTAGCATGAAAAAGAATGACAAGGATGACCTTGAGTTGAAAATATACAATTTTGTTAGTAAAATTAGCGAGGCGTACCTAGTTTTATTTGAATGTTTAATTAAACTCTTCTGCAATTAAAGATTAATTCATAAACTTCCGTTATATTATTATTTTACGGTAATCTTTACAATCAACACATATTCTATGAACGCATTTTCGGTTAAAAATGTACATTTCTGGTGTTTTACTTGAGCAAGTTACTTGTTTTTAGTTGTATTAACGATTTAAAACATTTATTATTGACAAAACATCGAATAAAAGAATAATTGTGTATTTTTACGTAATTATAAGCAAAAATTTGATGCAACGAACTACATCTTCCAAAGCATCGAGGGTTACTGACTGAAGTATGCAAGTTTCATTCATTCTATGCAACTACATGCATCTGATTGGCTGTTACATCGGCGGCCATCATTGTGTAGTAATTAAATGTAGGTCAAGTTCAATACACCTGCAAATGTAAACAATACTAGGCGCCACTTATAGTAAAAATTAACATAAGGTACTTTGAAAAGGGATAAATCAGTTATTTCTTAACCGATTTAAATGCGGTTTTCATTAAAATTTAGAAAATTTAATGCCGCGTAATACTAATAAAAAATATACAATCTTAATTTACAATTACTTGATTAAATTATTATTTTGCAATTTACATGGGTTTATTTTCGTTGTATATCAATTTAAACAATCGTAAGGGGTAATTTTATAATAACACGTGGGCTTCTTATATATTTCTATGCTAAATTCTAACTGATACGGATGCCTGTACAAAATTTATTTATTTATATGTACTACTTATAATTTAAATATTTTAGTGATACATGTACAATTCTGTCAGGCCGGGCCTGTAGTTGATTCATTTTGTTGTAATTTTATTATTATTATTTTAAAATAATTGATAACTGAGCGTTTTAATTCAAAAGCTCTCCGTACCACCGTCGTCGATTGCGCCAGTAGTCTTGTCCAGTTTTGCCTATCCTGACCGTGTCCTTAATACGTAACAGTCTGGAAAATTCCACAAGTGCTTTTGTGAAATGGTTTTCGAAAAATTGTAATTTTTGCAAATTCGGGCAGCAAAAGATGTAGTGAAATCGAAAGCGAAATATGTAGTAATATCAATGTATGTGTACAATTTCTTCAAAAATGTACTTTGCATTTTTACCACTTTTCTATTTTTGATTTTCCGTGTTCATCTTGATATAAATAGCAATTAAATTGTTTCGAAATTTAATGCATTATGTTTTGTATGAATTTAACTTTTTTAAACTTGTACTACAAAGAGAATGTGTTAGTTTGTCTATTCTATAATATGTGGGGAATATTTTTTCTGAAATGAACGAACCAAAGCTGAAATTTCTTTCATTGCTTGAATGCTGTACTATTCTCGAGGTGGTTGCCAGCTGCATTTAATATTTTTAAATATAATAATGCCCTTTTTGTAGTTAAGAATAGGTATAACATTTTTCCAAGCGTAATTTTCCCTCTTTTATTTTCCGAATACTTTCTCTCTCATCAGACAGTCGTATGCTTGAACGGTCGATCGAGAGAGCAAGATACTTTATTCATCTTGATATAAATAGCAATTAAAAATTTGTTTTGAAATTCAGTGCATTATTTTTTGTATGAATTTATCTTTTTAAACTTGTACTACAAAGATCATGTGTTAGTTTGTCTATTCTATAATATGTGGGGAATATTTTTTCTGAAATGAACGAACCAAAGCTGAAAGCTCTTTCATTGTTTGAAGCTGTACTATTCTCGCGGTGGTTGTCAGCTATATTTAATATTTTTAAATGTAATAAAACCTTTTTTGCAGTTAGGAATAGATATGACATTTTTCCAAGCGCAATTTTCTCTCTTTTATTTTCCGAATACTTTCTCTCTCATCAGACAGTCGTATGCTTGAACGGTCGATCGAGAGAGCAAGATACTTTATTCATCTTGATATAAATAGCAATTAAAAATTTGTTTTGAAATTCAGTGCATTATTTTTTGTATGAATTTATCTTTTTAAACTTGTACTACAAAGATCATGTGTTAGTTTGTCTATTCTATAATATGTGGGGAATATTTTTTCTGAAATGAACGAACCAAAGCTGAAAGCTCTTTCATTGTTTGAAGCTGTACTATTCTCGCGGTGGTTGTCAGCTATATTTAATATTTTTAAATGTAATAAAACCTTTTTTGCAGTTAGGAATAGATATGACATTTTTCCAAGCGCAATTTTCTCTCTTTTATTTTCCGAATACTTTCTTTCTCATCAGACAGTCGTATGTTTGAACGGTCGATCGAGAGAACAAGACATTTTGTTCGTCTTGATATAAGTAGCAATTAAAAATTTGTTCTGAAGTTTAATGCATTACTTTTTGTATGAATTTAGCTTTTTTAAACTTGTACGAAGAGAATGTATTAGTTTGTCTATTCTGTAATGTGTGGGGAATATTTTTTCTGAAATTCCCTGGGTCCTGTATTGGAACGATATCAACTAGTCCATCAACAACGGTGAGTTAGAATAAAATAAAAAATATTTCAATATCTATAATATCAATTTATTCAGGAAAAGGTCATTATCAAGAGTCAAGAGTGTCTAAATTACAATATATTTTTATTTTTCCATGTTTATAATAAAAAGAATTTAAATATAATTTGAATTATAATAATGGAGTAATTATAAGCGTTTTAAAATTAATTTACACATTTAAATTTTTGTTCACTTGTAACAGGGACTTGTGTGGACTTCAGTATTACTTTTAATGTTTTGTTTTTGTATTTTCTGCTTAATGCAACCAATTCTCTAATAGGGACGAACGTTACGTAAACTGGAAGCATCTGGGCATTAATTGAAGCATCATTTCACTTGAGATTGTAGCACCTAACAGTGCCTTTGTCCCATCTATTTTTTATTTCTTGATAAATCAATTTCTTACTTATTAAACGAACGAAAATATTTAATGTATTGAAATTTTTGTATGGAATTAGTGGAAAGATAATTATAGTTAGAAATTGCCTTGGTGCACTTTCAGCTCCCTATTTGGAACCATCATTTTTTATTTTTGATAAATTAATTTTTTCTTTTTTAAACTAACTGAAACTACCAAAATTTATGTTAAAGTTGTTATGGGACATCAGTGAATAGAACATTATAGTTAAAAATTATCTGGGTGCAGTTTCAATCCCATGATTCAAAAAGGTCGTTCTTATTTTTCCCTAAATGAATTTTCTATTTGTTTTGTTTTTCAGGTAGATCATCTAAAAGAAATTTCTTCGTCTTGCGTTTCATAGGTCAAATCGATAGTTTTTTTTTTCTCGAAGGGTAAGGATTTATTTAATTTAATGACGATATTTAAATGTTATATATTCTTGTGCTCTATTTTGAATTATTTTTATTACTGACGTTGCTATAACCCTTAACAGATTAAATTTTCATTCAAAATTTATTTAAGAGTTACATATTAAAATAAAAAATAGTCTGTAGGTATTAACTTAACAATTATTCAAACAATTAATATCTGATTTTGTTGTAATTCTTTTTCAGTTTCTTTCTGGAAATGGTGGAGATTCACTGGAGAGTTCGAATTGGTTTTGAAGGGATGAATTAATTATGAAATTATTTATGGAGTTTATCTATCTATGGATTTTCTTTTAACCTTTTTCTGTTG